CACTCATGGAAGAGAAATGCACGTCAAAACAACTCTGAATGCCCCCCAAACTGGCAAATACGACAAGATGGGAGTAGTCAGTGTTGGATGGGGCATTGTTGATGGCGCTATGAATGAATGCAACCAAGTTTGGGAAGCATTTTGGGTTTATGCAAATAAAGTGACTAAACTGTCCAAGTCCTTTGACCCAAAGATTCTGTTACTAGGTGTTCATCTCAAGGAGGCTATGGGTAAGAAGAAAGGCCCCCAAATATAGTAGCATCTTTTGTGATAGCAAAGAATTGGAAACAGGTGCCCACTGACTGGGGAACAACTAAACCAACCATAGTACATGAACGTAATGGGAAAAGAACAAACATTTATTAAGTGCCTACTATGTGCAAAGCACTGTGGTTCACAAAGATCCTACGTGATCCTCACAGGGTTGCTGTAGACAAAATTATTTTCCATTTAGGGAAACTGAGTCAGAGGTTCAGAGTGACTTGCTCAGGGTGTCAGGCTGGATTTGGACTCATTTAATTGTCAATTTTACCAGACTTTAAGAAATGTTGAATGTGATAGTTACTGAGAAATGTGGACAGATCTACATAAACTGAGGCAGCTAAGTTAGCAGAACCAAAAAAGCTGTCCACAATGACTACAACGCTACATGGAGAGAACAAACGACCAAAAGTGAATGTTGGAGAATCACGGAAAAAGAAATGAGATGTCCCTCTCCCATTTTCTACAGAGGTGGGAGGCCCCCACATTTGGCATGCTACACAGGGGATGGGGGTTAAGTGACTTGCCCAGGGTCACACAGCTAGTGTCTGAGTTTGGAGCATGTATTTTCATGTACTGGTCTGATGTGCTTATTTTTTTCCCTTTTAAAAAAAAACAAAACTATTACATGGGATGATTCTCTAGGAGGAAGAGAGGGGAGGGATACTGGGGGTAATCATGGTAATGTAAAAAGTAATTTTTTTAGAAGATATGTACAGCATAAATGGAAGGTAATCTCTGAAGAGAAAGTATTGGATTGGAAGAAGAGAGCCTGGGAAAGACCTGCCGAAGGTGGTACCCGAGCTGAGCTGTGAAGGGAGGCGGGAAGCTTTCCTGGTGTGTGGGAGGGACAGCCAGGGACAAAAGCCCAGAGGATGCCAGGTGGAGCCACGTGATGGAGGAGGAATAAGAAGGCCCACATAACCGGATTTGGGGAGACCAAGCTATGGAGGGCTTTACCAGCCAAACACAACTTCCTGTTTGATTCGAGAGATCGTAAGGGGCCCTTGGAGGTGAAGTTTGGCAGCTAAGTGGATGGATTGGAGTGGGGAGACACCGCAGACGGGCACCCCCCACCCCCAGCAGTAATCACACTAGGCCAGGCTTGAGGTGATGGGGTGGGGGCAGTGACAGTGTCAGAGAGAGATGGGGGTATGTATACAAGAGAGGAAGTTGGAATGCCAGGATTTGGCAACAGACTGGATGTGTTAACAGAGTGTAAATGCAAGTAAGGCATCAGAGTGACGGGTTGTGAGCCTGGGTGACTAGGAGGATGACAGCACCCTCAAGAATAATTCAGTTCAGAAGAGAGCATTTTGGAGGGCAAGAATGAGTTCAGTTTTAGGCAGCTATGTGATGAGGTGGATAGAGCACAGGGCCTGGAGTCAAGAAGGTAAAATTTGGACTCAGATACTTCCTAGCTGGGTGACCTTGGGCAAGTCACTTAACCTTTGTCTGCCTCAGTTTCCTCAGCTGTAAAATAAGGATAATAATAGTACCTACCTGTCAGGGTTGTTGTGAGACTCTAGTGAGATAGTATTTGGAAAGTGCTTAGACACACACACACACATATACACGTTCTACATATGTTAGCTACTATTATTCTGGACATGTTGACTTTAATATTTCCAGTTTCCAAACTGAGACATCGTTCATATTGGGCAGACTCTTAAGAAGTCTGAATGTTAGTGAGCCATTGGCTGGATTATAAGAATCTAAGCACCTTAATGGAGACAAGATGGACCTTACATACAGCAAGCCTATGGGAGGGATCTAGGAGTGGCCAAGTAGTCTATGAGGTCATAGAATTCCAGGGACCTGGTCCACAGGGCCAAGGGAGAAAGGAGCCTAGATCTTTGCTGTCTTCTTACTCTTCTCCACAGACAACTTGACTGCCACGCTTCGCTTTAGCTAATTTAATTTAGCTAATTTAGCTAATTTAGCTGTGTCTTTTTTTGTCTTTTGGTTTGGTTTAATGGAGTCTATGAGCATTTGTGAAGTGCCTACTATGTGTCAGGCATTGTGCTAAGCCCTGGGGATACAAAGAAAGGCAATAACACTGGTGTCTGCCCTCTAGCAGCTCACAGATTCTCCTGGGGAAGGGGAAACAAGATGCAAACACCTAGATACAAACCAGCTCTGGACCGGGTAAACTGGAGAATCTCAGAGGAAAGACACGAAGTCTGAGCAGGCCTGAGAATGGACTTTAGCTGGGACTGGAAGGAAGCCAGAACTTGGAGACAAGGAGGGAGTGTTCTAGACGTGGCGGACAGCACAGGCAGAGGCACTGGCAGAAGCCGGGCACTGAGCATTGTCTCTGAGAAACAGCAGGATGATAGCGTGCATGGAGGGCAGTACGGCGTGCGAAGTCTGGGATGGCGGGAGAGGTCAGGTTGGGAAGGGAGGCTGGAGGAGAAACGACACGTTCAGACAGACTGTGCTTTGGAAGATCATCATGATAGCTGAGGGAGATGGATGGACTGGATGGGGCTGGGGAGAGATGAGGGAGGCAGGCCCCCCAGCAGCTTCGGCAGTGGTCCCAGTGGGGTCCCAGTGACACCCAGTGTCAGTTAACAGTTCCTGTGGCATCTGCCTCACAGAGTTGTTTATGGGGCTCCCATGAGACCTGGGAGGGCAGGAAGGGACGCCTGATGCTGCCTCTGCCGTTCTGTTGTTCACCCCCTTGGGGCTCCCAGAATGAGTGTTGTGCTAGTTGGTCTACAAGGCCCCCCTGGACTCCAGGCACTATCCACAAGGCGGGCACTGCCCATACGGCCCAGTTTTCATATTTTCTGGGTGCCCAGGGTGGTCAGGCAACCATGCCAGCTAGGGGATGGGGGTGGAAGCACCATGAAGAGCATACTGTCAGGTCATTTCTGGGACCCGTGGCCAAGAGCATGGAGGTGGCTTTTGTAGGTCATGGCCAGGAAAGCTGAGAAAGCTGCCCCCGGTACAGGAGGAGAGAGCCCGGGTCTGGGCCAGAAAATGTCAGCCCTAAGTCCCCAGCCTTGTAGGTGTCTGTCTATCTGTCAGTAGAAGACAGCTAGGTTGTAGGCCACAGTGTTTGAATCCTACTTCAGACACTTGTTAGCAAGTTCCTTAATCTCTCTGGGCCTCAGTTTCTTCATCGGTAAAGTGGGGATAATAGTAGCATCTCCCAGGACTGTTGTGAGGATCATGAGCTCATATCATAGAAGTCCCATATAAATGCCAGTTATTATCGTTAGCTCAATTGTTAGACTGAACCTTAGTTTAATCCCCTGCTTTATGGAGAGAGAGAATGAAACCTGGAGAGGGGCCCCCGAGTCTCTCCTGCCTCCTGAGGTCTTTCCACACCTGTAAGACATGTAGCCTGAGGGGTGTGGTGGATGAGAGATCCTGATGGATGCACCCTGTGTGTCTGGGATGGCAGAAGGCCAACGGGCCCCAGTGCCAGAGCAGCAAGGCCATGACACAGAGGAAACAGAAATCACAGTAGTTACTGACCAAGGTGAAGGACTTTATGGAAGAACAGAGGACGTGCTTCTAAGACCTGACTTGTAGTAGGTGCTCCTGCCTGCGGGAGCCAAAGCTGCAGGGAGGGGGACAGCCCCCTCCCCCACAACAACACCATCAGAGTCACTCGCCAACAAAGCGGGGTGGCCGCTTCTCCCGGAAGGCTGCCATGCCCTCCAGCCTGTCCCGGGTTGGGATGTTCTGAAAAAAAAATGCAAGATCATAATTCTTCCCACCATCCCCTGGCATGCTGGATCCCTGCAGCCATGTCTAGGGGACTGTGGGGAAAGACAGCCTCTGGTCAATGACCCCTTAGTCCCACGGGATTAAACAGACAGACAGACAGACATAAAGACACAGCACACACACCCCAGGGCTCTACCTCCGCATGATTGACACCTGGCTTTCCAGCCACCTGGGGATATCAGTTTCAGTTCATGGGCAATGAAAGGCCTTAGCTTGTGAAGATCAGACTAGCTTCTCCTACCCTAAGTCCCTTTTGAGATCTAACCAGGAGTCTTTAATAAATCTTATTGATGGATGACGAGCCCAGGGCCAACTCATTCAAGTCTCCTGGGCTGATGGCAGAGCTGCCCTTCACTCCTCACCTCTTCAAATTACAACTCACAGAATCACTGAATTTGAGAGAGAAAGGGCCTCTAAGGAATCCCCACAGTAACGCAGCTGTCAATGGATCCACCTGGGAGCTCCCTCCAACCCCAGGCAGCCCACTGCACGGTGGGATGGCTCTGACTGTTAGAGTCAAAAGCTATGTGAGATTCTCCCCAGCTCCTAGATGTCATGTGAGTAGGGCGCTGTCCACAGTGGAGGGATAAGGAGACCAAGGCCCAGGGATGGGAGGTGGCTTCCCTGAAACCACAGGCTATGTAGGGAGGGAAAGGGGAGCACTCGAACCCAGCTCTCCTCAGCTCCAACCCCAAATGCAGGCTAGTTGGGGGAGGCGATCCACGTAATCTGGCCACAACCTACCTGGGCATAACACATTCCTTCAATGGCCATTCCAGATGCGATGTCCACCTGTGGGGAGGGAGGAAGTAGAACCAGGATCCAGATGACATTCTAGGGGGGTGGGGGGGGGGGGGGGGGGGGGGGGGAAACAGAGGCATCTCTAGCTCAGCCAGAGCAAACTTCCTTAGAACAAGGAGTATCAGAGATATTTTAGAGTTCTCTAGTCCATGGGTCTTTAACCTGGGGTCCAATGAGCTTTTTAAAAAATATATAGCTAGGGGCAGCTAGGTGGTGCAGTGGATAGAGCACCGGTTCAAAAGTTCAAAAATCTGGCATCAGACACATGGTACTAGCTGTGTGACCTCAGGCAAGTCACTTAACCCTGACTGCCTCACCAAAAAAGAGAAAGAAAAGCAAAAAACATACATTGCTACCGATTTCAATAGAGCTGGTTTCCTTTGTAATCCCATGTATTTTATTTGATGCTTTTAAAAACATAATTGAGAAGGGGTCCATAGGTTTCACCAGACTGACTGCAAAGGGGTCCTGGACCCAGAAAAGCTGAAGCCCTGCTATGTTCCAACACTCTAATTTTGCTGAGGATGAAGGGGCAGAGCCAGGATCTCTGAGTCTACATCAGAGACTTTAAAGCCCAACTCTGATCCCTGTGGCCTGGCTCAGCAGGGTTAGGGTTAGGCTAGGCTCGGGCCTATAGCCTGACAACTTCCCTCTCCTCCATTTGCCTTGAAGTTTCAGAGGGTCCCTGTGTGTCCTTCCAGACCCTCAAGGTGGGCTAGCTTGACTTTGAGAGAGGTCCAGGTGCCGCCAGTTCAGTGCCTGGGCCAAGGGAAGGAACAGAGGCCTGGGCTGTGAGCACACAAGGCAGGACCAGGCACAGATATGGGCCTGGAGGCCAGCTAATGCTCTTAGCAGGTAGATCTTGCCTCCTGTGTCAATACTCAGGCTCCAGATCAGGAACAGACTCTTGGCTGAACCCTGGAGGGGGCTTGGCACAGCCTCAGCTCCCAGAGTGAGCCATCTTACTTGTTCCTCATCCTTCCCTGGTCCCAGGGATCATGTACCCACAGTCTGTCTAATGTCATGGACCCCAGCCTCCTCCTCAGCATAGAGCTACTGGGTAACTATTTTCTCCAGTCCTAGCCATCTCTGCTTGTCCTCTGGGGCTTTCATGCAGTACCAGCCTTAGGAATCTTCCCCCTTCCCCCAAGGTGGCGACCAAGGGTAGTTGAGAGCAGAGGATGGTAGCCCTCTAGTTCTCGGGCTCCTAACTTGGGGGATCATGTACTTGTTTGATTTTTTAATTTGGATAACTATGTTTCAATAAAATGTTTCCTTTGCAATCCTAAGAATTAGGTGCATCTACAAACATCATTCTGAGAAGGGGTTATAGCTTCACCAGACTGTACTAATGGGTACAGGACACAAAAAGAAGGTTAAGAAGCACTGATCTAGTTCACCCTCCTGGTGGAGAAACCCCGAGGCCCAGGAAACGGATTTGCCCAAGGTCACACAGGTAGTGAGTAAGGGAGCTAGTATTTGAACCGAGGTCCTCTGATGGCAGAGCTAGGACTTTCTTCCCCATACCATGCCAGCTCTACTTTCAGTCATCCCTGTCTGACTCCATGTTAGAAGCCTGTGCTTGCAGCTCCTGGGTCCCACCTTAGTCCTTGCCAGGCCCCACCCTGATTCTCACCTCCATTCCTTTGTCAATGGCCACTTTTCCCATTCTCACTGCGAAGGGGGCCTACATGGGGAAAGAGACAGGCTTGAGTCATTAAGTAGGCCGGATCAGGCTAAGCCAGGCCAGGTCCCTGACCCAGAAAGTTCCATGATCTGATCAGACTCATGAACATTTTTACCAGTCCTTCTCTTGGGTACCAATATGGGCAAGTCATGGAATGTCAAAGCTGGAAGGACCTGGAGAAAGTGGACACCTTCATTTTATAGATGAGTAAACAGACCAAAAGAAATTAATTCAATTCAACAGGCACCTACTATGTGCAAGTCACAAAGACAAAATGAAAAAGTTCCTGCCGTCAAAGCGCTTATGCTCACCTAAGACAGATGAAGAGGAACAGCAGCTGGGAGGGGGGGAAATTGCCCCTCCCTACCCCTCCCCCAGCAACCCAAACCTCACAGAGGGCAGCTGCTATCAAGGGGCAACCTTCCCCCCTGCCCAGATCCCCTCTGGGGGGTGCTGGCAGTGGGGCTCTTCTCCCCCACTCATCCTGCCCGTGCCCCCCTCCCAGCTAGATGCCAACTTCCCCCCATCCCCACCCAGGGGGGCCCCAGAATCCCCATACCACTTAGACCCTCAGGCCCCCTCCCCACTTCCCGATGGCTGTCGGTCCAGTTCTAGTGCCTCTAGTCTTGTACAGAAGACACAACTACTTAGATACTACTTGGATAGGCTGGGAGTCATCAACTACAAGCCTTCCAACCTGCCCTGCACATTCTAGGCCCTTTGGACTCTGAATCACTCCCTTCCCTCTCACTCCAGACACGTACACCTTTGGCCTACTCCTGACTGAGTGCCCAGAATGCTAGATGCTGGAAGAAAATTGCTGACCTCAGTTAATCCTTTCCACAGCGCCCACGGCCAAAGGGCAGAAGGCCCGGGCCAGTGTGTGCCTGTGTATGGGGAAGGTGGCAGATGTGTACGGGGAGGGCGGCAGATGTGTACGGGGAGGGCGGT